AAGTGAGGGGTATTTTAGGAATATGAAAAATTAAAAACAAGTGAGGGTGTTTGCACTTTTAACAAGTAAGGGGCATTTTAAGAATATGAAAAGGTAGAAAACAAGTGACAGTGCTCACATTTTTAAAATAGTAGTAGATAATTTCATGTCAAGGGAGAGAGAGAGACGGTAATGGTTTCCCCACCTATCTGATCTTTCTATCCTTCTCTCTTCGATCTTCTCCAGATTTGGTCCTTAACCCATATCTGATGTTTGCTCTACCAATCTAGCCATCACTACCTTACTTTCTCTACTAGGAGTGTTAAAATGGCCCGTGGCCCATGGGCGGCCTGGGGTGGGCCCGAGCTCGAGCCCCTAGGCCTAGACTTGGACCATCATTTTGAAGCCTGACCCGGCTCGTGGGTCCAGCCCATCGGCCCACTCAAGGCCCGGCTCACCCAAGGCCCAGTGTCTTTTATAGTGGAAAATAATAAAATTTTGGTAGAAAATTAAAAAAAAAAAAAAATTGGTTAGGCCTGCCCAAGCTCGAGGCCAAGCCTAGGCCTGCCCAAGGCCCAAATACCCCTAGGCCTAGGCCTGGACTTAATTTTTTGGCCTGTAGGCCGGCCCGAATTTTGGTGGGAGCCTACGAGGCCAGACATGGGCCGGGCCAAATTTGCACTCCTATTCTCCACCATCGAATTTAGAACTTTAAGATCTAGCTTTAGATCTTCTCATAGTCCGAAAGCTAACACTAGATAACGCACTTATTTCACGCTAACTTACCACCTCAACGTGAATGTTCTATTTTGACCAGGGAAGGTGTGGTCTTCACATTACAAGTTAAAGGTTGCAAAATAGTGGAGTTTTGAATGAGTTCAATGACAACTTGAATCTAGTGTGTGTGTGTGTGTGTGTTTTATTTATTTATTTATTTTCTATTTGGTTTTCTTAGTTTTTGATTTGTTAATGTAATAATCCTTTTTGTGTGGAAGTTTGTTTTCCTCCCTTGTGGGGGCCTTTTATCCTCATCTATGGAGACTTTTATTCTATAGAGGTTGTTTATCTCTTTTTGAGATCTTATGATACTGTTGTACCGAATTGATCCAATCTTTTAATAGATTTACAATGAAAATAATAATAAAAGGATAAAATTACACCATTAGTCCTTATAGTTTAAGTAAAGTGTCACTTTAGGTCTTATAGTTTCAATTTGTACAATTTGGTCCAAACACTTTTAATTTTGTTGCAATGTGATTCATTTGTCACTTACTATTAGAATTTGGAAAGGAAAAAGACAATGTGTATTATTAGAAGGACCAAAGTGGAATTCAAAGAAACTAAAGGGATCACCGGTAAAGTTTAGGAACCAAATTGTTCAAATTGAAATTATAGGAACTAAAGTGACAATTTAATTAAACTATAAGAACTGATGATGTAATTTATCCTTTTATTATTAAACAATGATATCATGCTTTCATATAGAATTCTACGATGCACACCTCTTTTGGTTATGATCTTAGTGGTCATTGGTTATGACTTATTGTGTGGTGTCGGTTATTATTCATCATGATATTAGTTTTGATATTATTTTGGTAATGTGGTTTATCTAATGTGGTGTTTAGTTATAATTCATTTTTTATTTTTGTAGTTATGACTTCCAAATGATTGAGTTATGACATTTATGTAAATGAAATCCACAAATATCATAACTTGCACATGGTAAACAACCTTATATCAATACCTTTTAATGTTTGTCATTCAATTTGCAGAGTCAGTGTATTCTTCCGCCCAAAATCTATTATTTTAAAAGACCAATTGGATGAAGTAGTCAGTAAACACTAGACAATCTATTTGTGTACATTTTTCTTTGTCTTCAGCATCTTTGGTAGCAAACACTTAGCAATAATTTATGTGTTGCTGAAAGAAAAAAAAAAGTTGGTAAGGAAAAAGAATGATGCCTAGAATAATAACTCCTTTTTTTTTCTCTATTGCTTCTGCTTCACACTATCTGATCAGGACACAAGTTTCCTCCATATATGCGTTATGCACAGGTGCCCATTTCACTGCTAGAAGCCAATTTGATAACAACCTCAACTACATCCTCAACCGGTCATCAATTTACATTGATGATGATAGTGGCAAAGCGATCTATCCCAACGTGGCAGAAGGGGGTGACCCAGACAAAGTTTATGCTCGATTCCTCTGCATCAGTGAGGTTGCACTGAGTGACTGCCGAAATTGCCTCAAGCAGGCAAGCAGTGAGATTTTAAGAAGATGTCCCTTCAGAAAAGAGGCATTTATATGGCACGAAGTGTGTTTTATTCACTACTCAAACAGATCCTTCTTCTCCACCATGGATATTGTCCCAGCTTATTGTGTTTATAACATTCAGGTTTTGGGAGATCTGTACAACGATTATATGAATAAGACATTAACTAATTTGACTAGTGAGCTACGAAGCATGGCGCAGCCTCTCTCCTCTGTGGGAGTCTCTCTACCCTCCGGTAGCTTTAGGGGGTTTTCCCTTTTTCTTTACTCTCCTTCACTGCTTTAGGGCTAATTTGTTTCTGCAGCGAGCTCAGGTGGGTCTGGGTGTGTAGGACTGGTTTCTGTTTTGTTTAATCTAGATTTTGGTGGGTTCCGAGGTTGGGTTTGAGGGCCATCCCTACTACTTTCATTTTGTCTCTTGCTGTTATCGCCTCCCAATCCATCCATTTGGATGATTTGGAGGGGGTTGAAGGTTCGGGCGAGAATGTTGACATCTCCCCTCTGTGTTTGATTGGGAAGACTCTTGCTCCTAAAAGGCTGAACAGGACGGGCGTCGCCAATATTCTTCAAGGGGCGTGGTGACCTCGATCGACGCCGGTGATCTCCCCCTGGGTTGATAATTTATTTTTGTTCCAATTTGGTGATAAGGAAGACCGACGCCGTGTTCTAGCCGAGGCCCCGTGGTCTGTTATGGGTAATTTATTGGTTTTACAACCACTCATTGCGAGAAACTCTGCCTCCGACATGGAGTTCAAATGGAGCCCCTTCTAGGTTCAAAACGTTGGACAAAGCTTTTGCGACAGCAGATTGGAGAGCGTTATTTCCCTATGCCCAAGTGTTTCATCAAAATCGAATCGGGTCAGACCATTGCCCAGTGATTATCAAGTGTTGTGTCCCACCGAAGAAAATTCCTCACCAATTCAAGTTTGAAACGATGTGGTCAACTAGCCCCCGGTGTGGTGACGTTATTAAACAAGCTTGGGAACAGTGCCCTCTTGGATCCCCGATGTTCCAGCTTGTTCAACGTCTAAAAAATTGTCGCCGCAGTTTGCTAGCATGGTGTAAGGAGGATTTTGGAAATACCAAATTGGAGATAGCTCGGCTCAAAGATAGGTTGGATAGCCTTCAAGGCCAACCACCCTCCGAAGATAATATTCTTGAACAATCCTTCATCCAGGCTGAATTGGAGGTTTCTTTGGCAAGGGAGGAAATGTTTCTTCACCAACGATCTCGAGTAAATTGGCTCTCTTATGGGGACAAAAATTCAGTCTTTTTTCATGCAACTCTCATTCAACGGCGTTAACGCAACCAACTTCTGAAGCACCAATCTGAAGAAGGAGTTTGGCTAGATTCGGATGAGGAAATCAATCAACAGTTACATGGGTATTTTGCCAATCTCTTCTCAACTGAAGGGGTGCAGGATATGGAGGAGGCCTTAGCAGTGGTACAGCGGGTCATTACTAGGGAAATGAATGAGAGACTTACCCGAAATGTAACCAGTGAGGAAATTAAGACAGCGGTTTTTTAGCTTGGACCTGTCAAAGCCCCAGGTCTTGACGGGTACCCGGGGTTCTTCTACCAACGGTATTGGGAGGAAGTTGGGCCTGAAGTGTGTCGGGCAATTTGCAATTTTTTTGATGGAGGCTTTTTACTTAAAGAGATGAATCAGACAAATCTTGTCCTCATCCCGAAGGTTAAGGCTCCTGTTAAATTATCACAATACAGACCCATTAGTTTGTGCAATTTTCATTTAAAGATCATCACAAAGGTTTTGGCAAACCGTTTAAAGAGTGTTTTGGCTGGTATCATCTCACCAAATCAGTCGGCTTTTGTTCTCGGCCGTCTAATTCAGGACAATATTTTGGTGGCTCATGAAGCTTTCCACTTCCTCAAGATCCAAAAGACTGGAAAGTGCTCAAATATGGCGGTTAAACTGGATTTCAACAAGGCATATGATAGGGTTGAGTGGGATTTCCTTGAATCTGTTCTTCGGAAAATGGGTTTTCATGAGAGATGGATTAAGTGGGTGATGGAATGTGTTTCAATAGTGACTTTCTCTGTTTTTGTTAATGGGGCTAAACGGACTTGTTTCAAACCAATGAGAGGACTCCGCCAAGGGGACCCTCTGTCTCCTTATCTTTTTGTTCTTGTGATTGAGGTGCTCTCCAAGCTTTTGCACAAAAGCCTTAGAGACCATCAATTCACAGGGATCAAGGTTCGGAGGTCTTGACTCTATCCCATTTACTGTTTGCGGATGATGCCTTATTATTTCTGAAAGCTGATTTGGGCCAATGTCGTAACGTTCTACAAGTTTTGGAGATGTACTGCAAGGCCTTGGGACAATCAATCAATTTTGACAAATCGGGTATTCAGTTTCAGCGTCAGTGCGGCCTTTGGTAGAGCATAAAATTTGTGAGTTAATGCAGATGAAACCGGTGAAGGCTGGGGCGAAATATCTGGGGTTGCCATCGTGTTGGGGTCGATCAAAAAAGGAAGCCTTTAGTTATATGACAGAACAAATGATGGATAAGCTTCAAGGTTGGAAGACGAAATTTCTATCACATGCAGGCAGAGAAATCTTACTAAAAGCCGTAGTGCAAGCCATCCCAACATATGCAATGGCCTGTTTTCTTTTCCCCAAAAGTTTGTGTGAGTCTATGAACTCAATGATGAGCAATTTTTGGTGGTCAGGTGACTCTAAGAGCAGAGGAATTCATTGGGTAGCCTAGGACAAGTTGACCTTGCCTAAGATGAAAGGGGGTTTGGGGTTTCGTGATTTTCGAGCTTTTAATAAAGCTTTACTAGCCCGGCAAGGGTGGCGTCTTCTCAAATATCCCAACTCGTTTGTGGTCAGGTTCTTAACGGGTATCTATTTCCCTAGCTCAGACTTTTGGCATGCTTCTAAAGGATCCCGAGCTTCTTGGGCATGGGCGAGTCTTCTTGAGGGCCGCAATATTCTTCAACGTGGGTCTAGGTGGCAAATTTCGAATGGGGCCTCAGTCAAGTTTTGGGAGGATAAATGGGTTGCAACGGCCACGAATTTCAGAATCAAATCCTCTAAGCCAACTGGGTGTCCGACCTCTAAAGTCGCAGATGCCATTAATTCGACCACAAACTCCTGGAATGTGGGGCTGCTACAGAGTATGATTTCAAGCTCTGATGTCAGTAATGTTTGTGCCCTTCCTATCTCTTTTGGAAACACTGAAGATGCTATTATCTGGCACGATGATCCTAAAGGCCTTTACCAAGTCAAATCTGGGTAGCAAGAGGAGAAAATGTTTCAACAAACTCAGCCTACGGCCAGCCCGTCCACTTCTTTCCAAGTTCTGGATCAGGTCTGGAAAATGCTTTGGGGCCTTCCGGTCCTTCCGAAACTCAAACATTTTTGGTGGCGCTGCTGCCACAATTCTCTGGCCACGAAACAAAATTTATTCTGTCGTAAAAGCTCTCGGGAGGATGTGTGCCCGATTTTCCTTGCTGAGTCTGAATCTATCAAGCATTTAATTTGCGGGTGTGCTTGGACTAAAACTGTCTGGTTTGGCAGTGATTTGAGCCTGACTTTCAAGGATGAGGTTACATCTATTTCTAGGTGGATGCGCAATCTATACTCTGCCTTCTCCAATACTAAAGAGCGGATGTACTTTTTCAGTAAGCTTTTGTGGGTGGGTTACAACAAATTTGGGATTTAAAGACGAAACAAATTTGTCCCAAAATGTATATATTTCGTCACCCAAAGTAATTACGACGAACATTTTTCGTCACCCGTTTTGTCGCCAAAGGGTCGTCGCTAAAGGGTCTTAGAGACGAAAAAAAAAATTCGTCATTGAAAATGATAAATTTATGACGAATTTTTTTGCCTCCAATACATTTTGTTGGGAACATACTTGTAAGTAATTAGCGACAAAATATTGTCATTAAAGGAGAAATCAGAGACAAAAGTATTGCGTCATAAATATAAGAAATAGAGACGAAATAATTTTGTCACGTTTAATATAAATGAAGACGAAAATTTTTTGTCAAAGAAGCTACCAATAGAGACAAAAATAAATTCGTCATTAAAAATAATGAAATAATGTCAAAAAAAATTCGTCACACATTGAGGGTAATAGTGACAAAATGTGACAATATTTTTTGTCATGACAAATTCATTTAGCGACGAAATAAAGAATTCATGACAAAATTAATCATCCACCTAAGCTAAATAAGAGACAAAAAAACCTTCTTTAGGGATGAAAAATTTTGTCAATAATTCCATAATATTTTTTTCCACATTATATACCTATTTTATCAAAATCTAAATTTTAGTTCAACAAATATGACCCTGTTCATGTTGAAACCTGTTGAATATAACAATTCCATCACAACTTAACCTAACCTGTTATCAACACATTTACGAATTAACAAAATGAAAATATCCATTCATCATTACAAATAATTTCATCCTAATACAATAAAATAGTACAGACAACCATTTATGAACCAAAAAAAATAATCAAACAAGTTTTATGATAGTTTTTAAAATTTTTATAAATATAAACTGAAAACAAAATGGTTACCAAATAACACTTTTTTAATTTTCAAAACATCTTTTTGCAGAAAATATAAACTATATCAAAATGCTGGGTGTTTCTAAACTTTCCATTGTTTTTGTTTTCAAGAACATGAAAAATGAAAATAGATACCAATTGTGGGGATGGGGAACAGGGAAGGTCGTCGTTGGGATTAAAACCCTTCTATGAGCTTGGGTGTGTGCAACGACCAAACCACCGAGTCATCCCCTAAGCTCATAAAATGATGATTTGGATGGGTAGTCAAAGGACAAAGGTAGTGAGGTAGTGGGAGCGAGGGGGTGTGTGATAAAGGCCAGGTTATTGTGGCAGTGCAAGCAATATGGTGGCATGATTCTGGTAGGGTTGATGGAAATGTCATTAAGTTTGGAATTTATTAGTGACAAATTCCTTTGCTCGCAAAAAAAAAAATTTAATTTTATGACAAAAATGTCCGTCTGTAGTGAGCTTAAATAATTGGCGCTAACGAGAAAAAAATTGGTGCCTCCTTTTTTCTAACGAATTTATTTTTTCGTCTCCTATACTTTTGAGAAAAATTAAAACAAACGACAAAATTAATATTTCGTCATCTTTGGCTTAAATTTTAAGACAAAAAAAAATTCGTCACCAAATTTTGTCACAATAGCCTAGATTTCTTGTATTTTTTATTGATTTTAAGCATTTGGTGACGAAATTTGGTTTTCCTCTCTAAAAATAATACATTTGGAGACGAAATTATTTCCTCTCTAAATTTTTTTACAATGGTGACGACAAATTTCATCTCCAAAATGGCGCCAAATCTTCCACCAAATTTTCCAAGGGCGGGAAATTGTTTTGTGACGAAAAATAAAATTTAGAGACGAATAAAATTTTCGTCACCTATTGTTTTATTTGATTTTAAGCATTTGGTGACGAAATTTGGTTTTCGTCTCTAAAAATAGTACAATTGGAGGCGAAATCTTATTTTCATCACTAAAACATGTATATTTGGAGACGAACTATTTTTTCGTCACGCGTTTTTGTCACCATAGACCTTTTTTGTTGTAGTGAATTTGGAAATCTAGGAATGCTCTGGTCTTTAATCGATTGCCAGTGGATCCGCAGTCTACCATTTACCAAGCTGCTAGGGATAATCTGGAATTTCTTTCAGTTGCCCCTTGTCATAGCTTCGGGGGAAGCCTCAATCATACACTAGTGGAAGCTTCAAACGTAATTTGGACTGTTCCTTCGTCAGGTTGTTTTAAAGCGAATTGTGATGTGGCCATGGAAAAAGGCTCGGCCAAGGCTTCTATTGCGGTGTTGTTTCGAAATTGGAAAGGTGAGCTGGTAGATGGGGCTGTGCAAAGGATAGTTATGAAATCTGTCTTGCAAGGGGAGGTTTTTGCGGTCCGTAAGGCATGCCTCATGGCCCGAGCTCTTAATCTCTCTCAGGTAGAAATTGAGGGGGACAACAAATCAGTCATTTCGCTGTGTGTCTCTGAAGATGTTCCTCCCTGGACTTGTGTGCCTATTATTGAGGATATCAGAATGTTAGCTCGCTGTTCTAACCTGTCTTTCCATTGGTCTCCTCGGTCGGCAAACGGGGCAGTTCACTGGACTGCCAGAGCTTATTTATCTGGTGCTCTTCCAGCCAACTGGGTGATCAATCCTCCCCTGCCTTTAGTGCGAGCTTTGGGCTGAGTTGTGTTTTTCTTTCCATGCTTAGCTCTGTTTTGCTTTCCTATGTTTCTGTGTTCAAAAAAAAAAAGCTATAAAGCATGGCTATTTCGAAAAACATGTCGTATCCGTACCGGGTACTTGCCTGTGTATGGTACACCGTATGACACTTTTGCATATGTACTAGATACATGAAACACGTACACAAAATTTTTTTTCTTAACTTTTAGCATACTTAGACGTACGTAGTATATACCCAAGCTGTACCGTACCTTAGTTGAAATAATATTTTCTTCTACTAAAAAAATAAAACTCCTTTCACTAGACTTCTTTTTTATTTTTTATTTTATGCTTAGCATGATTTTAAAATTAAACTATGATTTGTAAGTTATTTAATATATTGACATTTAATTTTCATTTATATCTTTACTTTTGGCATTAAATGTTAATTATAGGTTGGACCTTAATAAAACTCCTTTCACTAGACTTCTTTTTTTCTTTTGGTATACTCGTATCGTACCTCGTACCCGTACCCATGCTTCATAGCTAGTGAGGCCATTTCCAATGCTTCAAAGCCCACAATATATGCAGCCAGCGATCAATATATCTCCAACCCATGCTTCATAGCTAGTGAGGCCATTTCCAATGCTTCAAAGCCCACAATATATGCAGCCAGCGATCAATATATCTCCATAAAATTGAAATTGTCTAGCCTGGTTGCAATTCAAGGTTGCACTGCTGCTGGAAAGGCAGAAGGGAGAATTCTTTCACCAGGCTGTAACGCAAGCTATAAGTACCACTTCTATGGGAGCCCTCTTCCTCCTCCTCCAATGGGAGCCCTCCACCTCTGTCTGACAACGGCTCGAGTGGTGAGTTTTGATCTTGGGAAATGATATCTTAGGCTGTGTTTGGTTTATGTTTCATTTTCTTTATCATTGTTTCAGGACCAAATTGGCAAAATTAAAAACGAAACTAAAGTGATACGAAACACAGACTTTAAGGACCATATGTGTATTTTATTACCATTCCATTAATTATTAAAACGGTCTGTTTGGAATTAGATCAAATTAACTCAAATTGAAAATTTTGAGGACAAAAATTGAAACTTGAATCACCAAAGTGACAATAAACGCGTACTTTAAGGGCTATAAATGTATTTTATCCATTCTTATTATCATTGGGCACTGTAAACCAAATGGCCATGATATAAATAGTTGTTAAATCAAGATCATTAGCTTTCTGAAGGAAGGAAAAGAAAAATAATTACAATCACTATCAGCCTAAGTCTGTTAGTATTCCTAGTGGTAACGCTACTAGCTTGTATGTACTACCAAAAGAGAAGGAAAAGAACACATGTACAGAGAGGTAATTGCAGTCATCCCAGTGATTTCCAAAATTCTATTACAACATACTATTAGCTAAATTTTATTTAGTTATTTTTAATTTTTTTGTGCAAAAGAAGATGGAAATCGCTCAGAAGATGAATTGCACAACTTGGCTGGAGAAAGATTTGGCAACGACTACAACAGTGAAGATTTGCAAGTAGAGAACCACGTGAAATTGCAAGACTTTCCTTCAATCCAATTAGATATTATACCAGCAGACAGAATGTTTTTCTGAAAAAAATGAACTCGGAGAAAGTGAATTTGGTCCAGTTTACAAGGTACTTACAAAGTTGAAGAATAATCTTTGAATAGTATAAATCATATACAGCTTATCAATTGTATACTTTGTGGATCAAGTGATTGACAATGCAATGTTAGGTTCAGAAGACCATTATTCGACTGACTACATGACTTGAAATTTGTTTGCAGGGTACTTTACCGGATGGCAGAGAAATTGCAGTGAAAAGGCTCTCAAGAACTTCTGGCCAAGGACTAAGAGAGTTCAAGAATGAAATCATTTTAATTGCAAGGCTACACATAGAAATCTTGTCAGACTCTTCGGTTGTTGCTTGGAGGAAAATGAGTCACTGCTCATGTATGAATATATGCCCAACAAAAGCTTAGATGTCTTCCTGTTTGGTTTGGACTCTTTCTAGTCTAGTCACTTACTATTTG